TTCTATAATTTTAAAACAATCTAATTGTGTCCAACAATGTAAATGTCAGTAATAAAGCATATTAATGCTGTAATCTTTTATAACAAAGACTATTAGATACTATCTAAATTTGACATATCAGAAAATAGGTTTAAGTATATCACTTGAAATATTAGTGGTTATTAGAATTAACAATATTGATAATAATTATGTTTTGTCTGAGAACATTTAGAAATATTACATCTATAAAATATTGTCTAGTTTAAAAATAGTTATTAATATTATTTGATATTGAAAAGCTTGTTATATAATAGAAAAAAGAGCTAAGTACAAAATAACATGTAAGCACTATGATTGAAAATACATAAAGTTAGCATAGTTGCCAACAGGTAATACTTATAAATATACACAGAGTATAGTTGTATGCATTTTATTAATACAACTTAGTTTTGAATTCTTAGTTCCCATTTTATTTAAATGCAAATTTTAAGTACATATTTAAAAAGCAACTGCAAACAAAACTAGACTTGAAGACTGCTACTTAGGATCCTACCACTAGTCACTGTTTTTTAGAAATATTTAATTTCTTTGGAATTAGTTCTCTTTCCTTGACTTTTGCTTTTTGGCTTTCTCTTTTTCTTGATTACATCTCTCTTAATAATAAATGTCAAGAAAATAATTGGGTCTACCATAAGCTAAAATAGGAATTTGTTAAAAGACTATCTGAGTGACTCATGAAACCAAAGACAAGACTGAGGCTGGGGCCCAGAACAACTATCATTAACAATTAAGATGATAGTAATCCTCATTTTCTCAACTCATCCTTGCTGTTCTTTGATCTCTCTCTCTCTCTCTCTCTCTCTCTCTTTCTCTCTCTCTCTCTATCTCCCAACTAGAGGCTCAGTGGACAAAAATTCATGCACTGCGGGGAGGTCCCTCAGCCTGTCATGCCCCTTTCACAGTCTGGGAGCCCTCAGGGAATGTACTACTGACGGCTTATGCTCGCTTCCCATGGGGAGTGGGCCTAAGCTGCAGTCTGGCCTCCCTCTGTGGGAGGCGACACGGTATACTATTTATATCCCTGTTTCTCATTTCTTTATTAATTATCAGCCTAGCTTATGAATGAGTACAAAAAGGACTAGAGTGATCCGAATATGATAATTAGTTTAATACAAAATAAATGATTTCGACTCATTAGACTATGATTAACTTCATAATTATCAATATGTCTTTAACTCACGTAAATATCCTAATAGCATTCACTACATCTCTTTTAGGCCTACTCATATACCGATCCCACTTAATATCCTCACTCCTATGTCTAGAAGGGATAATATTATCTCTATTTGTCCTTGTCGGAGATCCGTTCCTACAGCAACATAATGTGATTTTCACTGTAAGTGGGAACCCACCTACATAAGCACCTACGTCACTCACATGGAGCACATACACAGCAGTAATGGAGTGAAACAGTAAAAAAAAAAATTAAAAGAAAGATAACAATCCCTGACCTTTACTTGTGGTAAATAAATAATAAAAAAGCATAAAGCACATATGTACATACGTTGAAATAACAGAATATTTTTTATAAGTAAATGGGAGATGGCGACATAACTATGCAATGACATACATCGAGTTTGACATAACCCGAGGACTGCCTACTTAAAACATTTTCATGGTTTCCAGTGAACTTAACATAAAACCAATGCTTAGCAGAGCCTATAATAATCATATGCCAATATCCCTCTTGCTCACTAAATTCTAGTCACACTGTACTTTTTGTCAGTTCCTATTTAAAAAAAAACCTTACCCCACACCCACCCTTGAGCTTTCTTCAATCTCTCTCTTTCAAAAATATCCCCTACCTACTGCCTGTCTGTGCCCTTGTCCTGTAGGCTTAGCCTCAGGGGCCATTTCCTTAGTTAGGCACACTGTGTCATCATGTATAAAGGGCATCCTTCATGTTATTCTCTTTCCTAGGTGCTCATTGCTTCCCTTTATATCACCAAAATTTGTACTTTTACACCTATTGGTTTCCTTATTGGAAGCCTGTTTCCCCTATGAACTCTAGGTAGTGAAACAGCAAGAACAACATTCTGTTCACCACTCCGTATGTAAGGAGAGCGTTGGTTTAGCCATCTACACAGACCACTCTCCAGAGAGAGCCTGTGCCTCCACCGGCTGCACAGCCTACTGAGTCATGCCTTCCTTAGGAGCTAGCTCTACAAAAGCTCCCAGTGAGGAATTAGCCAAACATTTTATAGAAATAATTTTATTTGTAAATGTAAAATATATAAAATACAACACATTCAACAAACTAAAATGTTATTGTATTTCTAATTGTACAGAGGAAAATGTGAAATCAGTTTAATTTACATAATTAAATGTGCTATAATTACTGACAGATGGATGAATAAATTATAGATCCACATTAAATATTTGTTGGAATCAATTAAATCCAGCTTTAAATGTCTTTACCTAACAGTTGTTTAAAGATCAATAAACAGACATCCAGAACAACTAAGTAATTCTAGTCACCTATAATCCCTTCAGCTTCTCTGTTTTATTAGGTTCTGCTCTTCAGAGAGATATATGGGATTTTATTTTATTTTTTACTTTTGCTTATGAGTGTGCTGAAGGAAATTTGAAGGGTAATGCATTTTATGGCATTCAGAATTTCTAGAGTTTGACAGTGAAGTTTGATCTGTGTGGAGAATTTGTCCCATGAAGTTTGATTCATGACATTGTTGTTTTCTAGCCGATTGTCAACCTGTAATGCTGTGCTGACTTTGCAGGTCTGTAGTGATCTTTCTCTCGTCTCCCTTATACGTGTGTTTTCGTAATGCTGTCATCAGCATATTGCCCTTATGAATGACTGTCTTGATAAACTGTCATACAGATCATTGTAAGAATTTTTATATACATTAAAATTAAATCACTACAATAAGAGAAAATGCTCACAATCCCCTAAGGTGAAACTTTTCTTCAAAAGGGAATATCCTTTCTAATCATAATGATAAAGTGGGCTGAGTATAACACTCTGACCTTCCTAAATAAAAATGTCAAACAATAAAAGCTCAGGGAATCTTTGCTATGCTTGCAAGGTGTCAATCTCCATATAGTAGACAGGTTTCTGTTTTTAGTAATTCAGATTTTTTTAGAGGAACTATTTTCAAGGTTGAATTTAAGGTTCAATGGATATTGTATTGGTCAAAAACTATGCTTAAACTCAATTTTTTTCACATTGATTCAGTGTGTGTATATTTTGGGGGCTTAAAAGGGGTAATAACCAAGTCCTTTCTCCCCCCTCCTAAATTCAGAATGAATTATAAAATAGAAAATTTGGAGAGATTTAATCCTATCTAATAATAGAGAAACATGGTAATTAACTTAACTTAGCTACCCTTCCCATTGGCTAATCACCAAGATATGCAAATTAACTACCAACCAAGATGGCGGCCGGCAGCCAGGCAGCTGAAGCAAACAGGAGGCTTGCTTGCTCCAGTGAAGGAAGAAGCCAAGGTTCCCCGCCTGCTGCTGCCAGGATCCAAGGTTGCACTCTACGAAACTATGTTGCATTTATAGAACCTAAACAAACCCCAGAAACCTGCTTTCAGCCATCAGAGCTGGAGTGAGCAGGACCGCAACAGTGTTACAATTACAGAACCCAAATAAACCGAGATACCTGCTTTCAGCAGCCGAGGTCTCAGAGC